CGCCGCCGCCGCGGGGTCCTTCACCGCCGGCGGCGGCGCTAGGCTCGGGCTGGGAAGTGTCCCGCATCCTCCTCAGCAGCTTCAGCCGCAGCCGTCGCCGTTGAAGTCGCCAACGAGTCCCGCAACGGGGGGAGCGGCCTCCCAGGCCCAGGCGGCGGCGGCCGCGACGGCGGCGGTAGTACCTGGCGGCGGCCAGATGTACGGCAATGCATCGACGTTGGCATGCCGTATATCCCGGTTCTCACCTCGTACGAGCATAGAGCTGGGGTTGGAGAGCGGCGTTGCCGAGGCTCCTGAAGACTCTGGCGCCACGGCCCGGTCCGTGACCCGACAAAGGGCGCTCCTGCAGGAGTGGCAGGAGTGGCGGGAACGCGGCGGTTTGGGGCCTCCGCCTGGTGTTGATGAAGAGACGGACTGCTCCGAAAGCGGCGGCGATGACGATGACGACAGTTCGGATGACGGCGGCGGCGACGGCGGCAGGCTGCTGCTGGGCCTTACCAGCAGCAGGCAGGCGAAGGAGGCGACGGCGGCGGCGGTGGGAAGAATGGCGGCGGCGGCGGACGAAGATGAGGAGGCGGAGGAGAACCCTCCGCAGAGTCTCAGAGGAAAAGGGTGGCGCAGCCGGCGGCGCATCACGCAGTCCTTTGACTTGCTTGGGTTGGAGGGGCTGGCGGAGGCGGTGGTTCCCTCATGTCCGACATCCATGTCCGCACCGATGGTGCCCGCCGCCAGCCTGCCGCCGACGGCAGCGGCGCCGCCGACGGCGGTGGCACCGTTGTCGTGCATGACGTCGCCTGTCAGGATGATATCTTCAGTTCCCGCCTCAGGTCCGGGGACGGCGCCGCTATCCCCCATGGCCTCCCGGCGGCGAGGGGAAAGCGGCGGTCGCCCGGGAGTGGGTCCGCTCGCACTGCCGATATGGCTCAACAAGTCGTTTGGCGGCGGCGGCGGCGGCGGCGGCGCCGTCACTACAATCGACGCTGTGGGCCCGGCGCCGCCGCTGGGAATCGGTGACGTCATGCCGTACGAGGACGGCAATCGCACTAGCGCACCCGCCACACAGTCTCCCGGTGTTTCCACCGCTGCCGCCGGCGCCGCCGCCGGCGGCTCCGCGGCGGGCACGGCTACTCGTATTCCGTCGCTAGCGGGCGCCAAGCACCTGAGCTTCACGAGCAAGTTCAACCGCTTCAAAGAACGGATTCAGAGCTTCTCCCAAGGCAGGTCAGCGCTGACTGGCAGCGGCGGTGGCGACGTGACATCTACGGATCGGGCCTCTCCTGCAATGACCGGCGGCGCTGCCGTACCTGCACGACCCCGCGTTGCCGTCAGCAACGACGGCCGCAACGCCATCCTCTCCGCGGCGCCATCGGCATCGGACTCGCCACCGCAGCTCGTCATGGCAAGGCAGGCGCCCCCAACCCCCGGACGGAAGAACATGGCAGGCGCCGGCGCTGCGGCCGCCGGCGCTCCGGACTTGCAGATTCGACCCACGGGTCGCGGGTCTTTTGACAATGGCATGATGGCGTCCAAAAGCCCGCAGGCCCAGCAGCCGGGCGCCAGCGGATCCCGCGCGGTGACAGCTCGGTACTCCTTGGACTCACGTCTATCCACATCGCGAGGCCGGGTCGTGCCCGATACGGTGAACTCGCCGCCAGCGGCCGCCGCGGCGGCGGCAGTCGCCGTCGCGGTTGGTTCTCCTCCGGGCCCGGCCCCCCCGCCGTCGCCGCATCCCCACGAGGCGCTGGTGGTCGGTGGTAACGCGCTGGGGGATCGCGGCCGGCGGGTTGACCTGTACGGCTTCCCGTCCTCCAATAACCCCGGCTTGCTGCCCCCGGTACGGCTGCTGTGATGGAGGCGGTGGGGCCCACGTGTCTTGTATCGCTCCTGCTACTGCTCCTGCTACTCACACCTTGCTGGTGGGCTCCTTTGGGGAGGGCGCCTCTTCTTCTTCTTCTTCTTCTTCTTCTCCTTTTTCTGCTTCTTCTTCTTCATGGTTTTCTCCATCTGCATTTTGTCTTCCTGGCTATGAGCGGGTTTGGTGGGGATGATGGGGTCGGGGGGGCCCAAGGTCTTCTAGCCGCAGTAAGTCAGTAGGGGTGGCCACTTGCCCCCCGGACACCGCAATACCCCTTCGAGCAGGGAGGGGTGAGGGGGGGAATGAAGGGGAGACGGTGCACTGCAATCGGGAAGGGTACGGCAGTACGACAAAACGGGCAAGTTTGTAGCTTGTACCGCGTTCTCATTAGTTCTGAAGACACACACACACACTCATGTATGCATGCAAGAGGGTCAGAGTAGGAAGGGGGCGGATAGCCGGGGGGGCGGGGGGGTCCCGAGTACCCCCGCCGCCCCTTCACACCCTTCACACCCTTCACCCGGCTTCATATTGAAACATGGAGGACAGAAATTTCTCGTCACTGTACGGCAATAACCTGCTTACCACTTTGCATTCCTCCTCGTTAGGGGGCCCCAAAGCCGTTACTGTCCTTGTCCATGTTCGTGTTGGTGCTGTTGTTGTTGTTGTTGATGGTGGTGTATCTCGCATGAATGCCAGTTGTGGAATCTACAAATTGATAATAAACAATAAATATTAACAGTCAGGATGGTATGCCTGCAGAGGCACGCACCACATTTACATCTCGCAGCCAGATTAAAGTTTGTGTTGGACGTCACCCCTGTCTGCAACACTTCGCATACATACATGCAAACATACATGCATGGTTGGTTGGTTGTCGTACAACAGGTTGTCATGTCTCTCCCCCTCTTATGTAACAGAGAGCGTCGCAGAATGGAGGGGTGTGTGTGCGGGAGGGGGGGCTAGGGGCTGACAGCGGGTTGCACTTTCTTCCAGACTACTACATACGGTGTATTGCAACATTCCGCTGATGGAGCTGGTAGGCTGGTGGCTGGCGGTTGGTAGGTAGTTTTGGTTTCAGCAAATTGACGGCGGTGAAGACGGCGGTTTGTGTGTCATCGGATTTGCGAGCCTGACTGCACCTAGAGGACGCCACACCGGGGCACACATGGGGGTGCGCGCTTTGCTTTGGCTTGCTTGCTTTGTTTGCTAATTATCTTGTTCGCCATCGCGGTTCTGCCATTCAGGGTTATGTCAAATTATCGTGCTTTATATAGCTGGTGTGGACTACAGCAAGTCGGGTGTACAGCTCCGTACAGTCGTACGTACAGCAAGTCGGGTGTACAGCTCCGTATGTTTAATTGCGAGTGCGAAAACGGAGAGGAGGGAGAAGGGGAGCTATTGTGCAACTCCGTGACGGGATGTTTGGCAGGCGGATGAAATCGCTTCGTTCGTTGAATGTTCTTTGGGCATTTGTCCACACACGCGTTAATCCTTCACGTCGTTAAATGTTCCATATTTTGTTGAATGTTCGTGCTTTAGTTTGTAAAAAGGAACATAAACATGAAGGCTAAAGTACATCGGTCATACCATCTGTATGCCTTTGCTTAATTATCGCCCAGGCTGTTCGGACTCTGTTCATATCTGCATAGTCACAGACAGACAGACAGATAGACAGACTGACAGCATGGGTGTGTGTGTCCCTCTGGCTGCATGTCGGCCGGTTGTATATTCCCTGCCCGGCGGCTATCCGCCTGGTTGTATGTATGTATGTATGTATGACGTTGATTACACTGTGGGCTGAAAAGCCGGGGGCCCAGGGCCGAAGCACAGCGTGGGGGGCGGGTGCATACGGCTGGTTAGTCTCATGCACTCCGCCCCCGGGTCAGGCCGCACGGGAAACGACGGCCGGCACGCAACAGCGCTTGTTTGGCGCTCCAACTAGACGGGATCTATGCCCGTGGGTCTCCTAACATAAACGAAGTCGCAACTGGGGGGCTCTTCCTGCCGACCGAACGAACCGAGCATCTCAGAGAGCTCGCTACCAGGACCTGGGCGACCGGGAGCCCGACGAGTCATCCCGGGCTGGGGAGGTCACCAAGCTCAAAAATCCTCACGCAAAAAAGAGCGCAAAGAGCTCACACCACAAGACGCCAAACAGCCTCCTGAGACTACTACCCTCCTCCGCCTCTCCCTCCCTGGGCTAGTCCAGGGGAGATAGCCCCCGTCGAGGGGGTAACACCGCACAAGTCCGCACAAGTATGTATGTATGTATGTATGTATGTATGTATGTATGTATGTATGTATGTATGTATGTATGTATGTATGTAGCCCCCCGGGTCCGTACAGAGCTGTGTACGTAGTGGCTATGCTACTGCCGTCGCCACCTGTAGTCCTGATTGATTATTTATACAGTAGGTCAGGCACTACTGGTAACGCACAACCGATGCCCCCGGAGGTTCCGGGATCGAGACCTGTCAGGGCCGAAACCCTTCCATTGGTGGAAGGTAAACGTGCCCTCTAGTTGATGGACGGTGGTGACCTGGGATAAAGTTAACTTTCGAGCTGACCAGGAATGGAGTTGAGCCGCCATTGACCCGGCAGATTCCGTTGGATGCCGGTGGTGGGTGCGGAACCTGAGCGATCCACTGAGAAGTTGACGAAGGTGATGACTAGATGAGGGTGCCCCGAAATACCGGGGAAGGCAGAGTTTCGCCCGGTAGCGGCCGCAGGGTGAAGATATGACCCCCCTGTCCCACACATCATACATACAGTATACGGCTTCACGAGGACAGAGAGGTAGTTCTGTGAAGGGAGCACAAAGCCCGGTGAATACACCTCTAGGATAGGTATCTAGGACATAGTACACCTGTATATCACAACGAATCGTGCACTGCCACTTGTGTACGACATGAGCAGGCGGGGCACTTCGTCACTCACCAGGATGTCGTGTAGTTGAAGAAGACACCAGCTAGCTCGCATACGCTCTGTCCGTTTGCCGCTGCCTTGCTTTTATTAATGTTATTGCTGCTACTGCTACCAGTACTTGTACGTTACTAGCTTCCACGATGACAGTGCTGGTGGTGGGTAGTGGATGGTGATGGAAGTGGTAGGGGCGGTGGTGCTAGTGGTAGGGGTGCCATTGCTGTTGGACTTTGTTATTAGTGTCAACCCTAATGTGGGGCCTGAGGTGGGCCCCGTGGGCCGTACATTGCGGTGCGGCGCAACCGGGCTATCGGAAACCGTCAATCTACATCAGGAGGTATTTCCGTGATCGGCGCCTATCTCGTCGTACTTTAGCAAGTAAAGATGTGTACGGAATGGAGGTACGGAGGACCGATGCTGCCCTCCAGGTATGAGTCCTGCACCTCTGGAAGACACACGTCCCTGTCGGCTTGAAGTCTTAGAAAGATGATGCGGGCGGTCCCTTTCCATGCAGCAGCAGCAGTCACATCAACACCCAAGTCATGACATGACATTGCTTTACATCACATGGCCGGGTCCTCCATTACAAGCACTTGTGTATCTGTGTTTGTGTGTGTTATGTGTATGTATGTGTGTCTGCACATGAGCACAAGGGGCGTTGCGAGAAGGTTCAGACTCAGAACCAGATCCACACAACCGTAAACATAGAGTTGCGCTTTTGCTTTGCTTGGCTGAGCGTGCTGGACGTGTAACGAATGTGAAAGGGATGTGGGGAGTGGTAGTGGGGGCCATATGATAACGCTGTGCGGGGGTCCCATGCGGAGGGCCCCCGCGCTGCTGGGTACACGACTGCTGCGGTACGGCGGTGTCCGATATCGTCCTGAATGTGTCCGATGTGGCGGCAGCGCAGCGAAGGTTCATAAGTAACGGTCCAACGGGTTGATGACCCCCCCATCACCCGATCACCCTATCACGACCGCGGCGCCCGGGCAGGTGGAGGAGGAGGAGAAAAAGAAGAACAAATAGTATACAGCAGCGCGTCCACCCCCCCCCCTGGCCCCACCCGGGGTTCGGCGCAATCTCCCCCCAACCCATCTTTCCCAGAAGCAGCTGAGGACGGTGGTTCCGTACGGCACGTACGGCATACATCTCCCATGGCGTACATGAACATAGCATAGCGTACATGTGTGCGTCTGTGGCAGTGGAAGCGGCGCTTCGGGACTTAGGGGTTTCCCACTTCACTGCGGGTTTCTCACTCCGAGGGATAAGACCTGGCCCCCAACAGCTCCAAGCCGTCAAAGCAACGTTCAACTTTCCAACTGGTCTCTCTCCCCCCCCATTTCCCCCCCACACACACACACACACATGGCACGGAGGGACCCTGGCCCCCAGCATGACGGCCCCCCGACCAGGACGGAGGACCCCCCCCCGGCTGACAGACCGCCGGGTCACCAGTTGGGCGGTGGGAGGGGAGGGTCAGTCGCCACCGTCGTCGCAGCTGCCCCTCCGAACATCATCACCACCATGAGCAGCAGTAGCAGTAGTAGTAGCAGCAGTAGCAGCAGTAGTAGCAGCAGCAGTAGCAGCAGCAGTAGCAGCAGCAGTAGTAGCAGCAGCAGTAGTAGCAGCTCCCGTACTACCGGCCGCAAAGTCTGGGGTCCGGGGGGATGAGCTGACAGCGGTGGTTGCGGCAGTTGCTGCTGCTGCTTCTGCTGCTCCGTCCCTCAGCGCTGGTGTCCACCTTCGCAGCATGGCCCCTATGTCCGCGTCCATGCGGGTGCCCTCCCCACCCCACACCAGCATGTGCGGTACGTCTGCCAGTCCGTTACCCCCCACTCGGCAAACCGGCCGGAAACCAAAGTATGAGTAGTACTTGACGAGCCGCTCGTGCCAGTCGTCATCATCGTTGATGGCGAGGATCTCCGCTGTACGGCAGCCGCGGCGGAAGCCGTGCGCGAAAGTGGCGCCGCCTAGCAGCAGGCCCAGCCCCAGCGTGCCGCCGCGGATGCGCTGCCCTGTGTCACCTGGAGGGTTTGAGGTGATGTGTTCGGGGCATTCGGGGTGTGTGCGTGTGCGTGTGCGTGTGTGTCTGTGTGTGTGTATATCGGCGAAGGTTGGATCGTGCTTTGGTTTGAGTTAGGTTGGTGCATCAGCGACCCTGGAGTCACTGACTACGGCTCCGGAGGGCGCTAAGGCTGCACCCCCCTCTCTCCCGCTCCTTTTCGCTCCCCCTTAAGAGTGGCCATGTCCCTTGGAGCTCCAAGGTGCCGCAAATCACCTGTGTCCTCACCTGTGTCCTCACCCGTGTCCTCACCTGTGTCCTGTGTCCTCCCCCTCCCCCTCCCCCTCCCTCTCCCCCTCCCTCCCTCCCTCTCCCTCCCTCCCCCTCCCCCTCCCTCTCCCCCTCCCCCCCCCTCCCCCCCCCTCCCCCTTCCCCTGCCCCTCGTGTGGCTCCAACCATTCCACCAGATGAGGCCTTTTTAGCTCATGCTCTTCAACCTGTTCTCTCTACTTGTAGTTCCGTGTCCCGTTAAGTCATGCCATAGAACGCAACACGGTGGACTCGGATCATGGACAGTGTCCTGGTCCCCAGCTCCGTGGGTCCCGCTCACAAAAGAATCGTCCTAGAACCCTATTGCCCACACCAGCAACAGGGTGCCTCACCTTTAAGACCACGCGTGAAGATCTGTAGGGTGTCGCAGTGCATGATGCCAAACCATGGAGCCACAAAGCCGTTGGTCACGCCGAGTATTCGCCCATCTTCGCCGCCATCGCGACATACAACACGATAGAATAGACCAAACTCCTTCACGCCCACGTGCAGGCCTCGTCGCTGGGCTGCGAGCTGCACCTCCTCAAGCGTGACTAAGGTGCTAGGGCCTGATGCCGAACTTCTTCTGCTTGATTCAGTTTTAGCTGGAAAATTAACTGCCTGGGCGGAAGCGTAACGGCGTTTAGCAGGGTGGGATTTGTGCAATCTGTTTCCTCGACGACTAAAAAGGTTTCCATGGAGACTAGCGCTCATCTTTCGACGATAGCAGTCAGAGGACTAAAATAATCTACATCATTATAATTTTTTGTTAAAGCCCAGGCACGCCGCTAGTTACAGCTTGTTTACAACTCTCAGCTCATAAAGAAGTAAGCCAGCTTTACGCATCGGTTTCATGACATATACCGAAATATGAACCAAGTGATTTGGGAAGAGGCTATATAGCTCAAGGTAGCCTCGCGAATTCCGTTGCCGTCGGTTGGGTCCTACGACTCTGCAGTTCGCCAGAGCACTTCGCAGTTGCTGATCTACGAATGCAAACGAGATCACTACTCGCCGGTGCTTTTCAGGACCTTGCCCAGGTGGCCAACAAATGTATGTGGTGTATGAGTTGCTGACACGCGTTACTTTTGCATGGGTGAGGCGGTGAACTCTTTTGGTCAACTTGGGACAACTTTGGGAACAATTGTGGGTTCAATCCCCATGAAGATACTTTTTATGTTCTTGAGGTGAGGCGTCCAACTTGTCTGCTGCGTCTCAATGTGTTGTCCGCCAATACCAAACACCACCGAGGAGGGGACCCCTTGTACGTCATCCGCAGCGCTCCAATCAGAATTATTGGCATGTACGGCTGGATTGAGAGCATGCTGCGGATGCAGTACGAATTATTGCAGCGCTTTTAATAGCATACATTAGGGTGCGTCAGCATATATGTATGCCTACAATCTGCTGAGCCGTCCTGAGCAGATCCATACGAACATTGTGCACTACCGGATAATAGAAGAACACAGATAAAAATACACGCAAAGCAACATGCATATCTATCCTTTCCCATTGTAGTGCAGTACGGAAGCAATTTAGGAAACCCTTTCCCAAAGAACAGCCGCCGTGTATACCAGCGGGTGTTTGTGACCTCCACACCCCCCCACCCGGGCCACCAACCGTCCTTTAAAGGAAAATGCTATTCCGCGGTGAGTAGTGAGTAACGGCTACCAGGACGGAAGGTGATGACAGTAATGAGGGGCTCAGCACGAGCCCCTGTCCTGGGAGGGCGACAGACACCCTCAACACGGGGGACTGCAACGACCTCCAGCAACGACCTGAGACAGCCCCTGTCCGCGGTTTTATTCTCTGCCCAATGCAACACCGCAAGCGGCGACTTTATTACTTCCCCAATTGCCTCGAGTTTTATTTCACGCCCCTCCCTGCAGCACGTATTTGGTCGTTTCTCAGCGACTGCGGGCGATTAGCAAAGCCCGCAGCGAAGCAGCAGCTCTCTGGGCACTATGTTGTGATCAGTTTAAGCGGGGGGGGCCGAAAGGAAAGGACGCGACGCACGTGCCATTCTCAACGTTGCCATGCGCCTCAAGATGGAGCCGTACTTACGTACGGAGCCCCAGTAAGCGAAGCTGCCAGCATGGCATCAATATCAGGACTTACTTATTTAGGGCCCCCACCTCGCCTCCATAACCATCACCGCACCCAGGAGCAATGCGCACACGTCCGCAATACCTAAACATGCAGACAGATATACATACGCACATACATACACACAGCAGCTGCAACTTTCGACCCGTACACCTCGCGGCGTGGTTCGTTTATTAAACACACCAATAGACACACGCAGGTCAATAGTAGGCCTGCAGCTGGGAGCTCCATGTTGGTTTGGCGGCGGGCCCTGGGGTGGTGGTGACCCCACCAGCCGACGGACCGACACCCCGCAACCTGTTCACCACCGCCATCCATCCCCGAGCAAACCGAACCGAACCAAAGCCCACCACTACTGCTCATGGACTTCATCCGGCGCACTACTGCAACCCACAACCCCAGAGACGCCCTCCTCCTCCTCCTCCTCCTCATCATCATCATCGTCATCCTATCATCTTTATCATCATCATCATCACCATCATCATCCTATCATCTTTATCATCATCATCATCTCCCACACTGGCGATGGCGGATGGCGACCGGATCTGGATCCTGTTGCTCTCCACAGTCGCATATGCAGCTGCTGGCGGGCTTGTCGATGTGTTGTGCAACTCAACATGTTGAGCAACACGTGATGGCGCAATGGGCCTTCCTTCAATCCACACACACACACCGCCGCACCGCCTGTGACACCCTAGTGACCTTCGGCGTGGCAACCACCGCACAACTCCCGTAACTGCATAACCGCTAACGAACAACTAATGTAGCCTACCCCCACAAATAACATCAGGACGCTGCGAAAGGCCCTCGCATCTCGTACGTACGTACGTATGTATGTATGTGCGTCGGCAAAGCTCGCCACCGGGTCGAAAGGCCGTGATGCTGCACGAGTGGGCGATGTGAGCTTGCGTGTAATGCAGTGCTCGTGCACCTCGGGTAGCTCTCTAAGGCATAACTAGCTCTCTAATACGCCAAACCCGCCGGAGCCGCCCTGCCTGCCTGGGGACAACGTCATCTCGGTCCGCATCGCGGATGACATTCGGTTATCTAGTAGTACGACAGCAACCACCAACCGCTCTGAGAATGCCTGGCTAGAGGACCTGGCCTAGCGACCCAAACGGTCCAACCTCTTTTTAATGTTCCCCCGGGGCCCGGATTCCAATATCTCAGTTGCATACTGTGTACTGTGTCGTACTGTACCACCGCGTCGTACAGGGTACAGCGCCTCCACTGCACTGCACCCCGGTGGGGTCACTAACGACACATCATCTCGGTACAAAACGCAACCGACTGATGAAACCACCAGCACCATCTTGACACCGTACGTATATGGCCATCATCGTCATCATCATCATCACTACCGCGGGGTGGCGGTGGCTGTTGGTGAGAGCGAATGCGCTCCCTCGCTCGCTCGCTCGCGGCAATGGCCGCAACCGTTTTCTCTCCCTTTATACACGTATACACATATCCGCATGTGGAAACATCCGTCCGTGTGTGTATTGGCGCACTTGGCGCACACATCGTGTATTGGATGGATGTGTCCCCGGGAGGACTTGAACAGTGTGACCCGTTACTGGTGATACGGCGGATACTCCCTCGGGCCCCCGCAGATGGGGGAGCTGACGCAGCAACAGCAGCAGCAGCAGCTGCAACACGTTGCTGCTGCCTGACTACCTGCCTGCCAACCTGCTGCTGCACCTGAGCAATATACGAGGTATCGCAACCAACCAGAGGCCGATGTAGATACATCCCGCGCGGCCATATCCCACAACGACCTGTTGCCCCCGCCGCCGCCACAGCACCACCCGCGCAGCATCACCACGGAGCTGTGTGTGTGTCTGGGGTGTGTGTGTGGGGGGGGTGTTAGCAAACCTGTGGGGGAACATGGGGGGCTGGTGCAGGTACACATACACCAAGCCACCCAGGTGCGCACCCCCTCGTTCTCTCGCTACAAGAGGGGTACAGCAGTGGCTCCACCCCTCCTCGAACCCGTTGGCCGACACAGCGGCATAAATGACGACCGCGACTACCAGAGTGTTTTTGTTACTAAAGCCACCACCACCATATCACTGCAAACACATCACCGCCACCGCACGACAATATTCACTGCAGTATACCCGTATTGCCACACACACACACAGCGAGACAGACAGAGAGGGAGAGAGAGAGAGAGGACACAGGCACATAGAGCGCGCAGACCGCAATTCCCTCCGCTTTTCTCAAGTGTATGTAAGTATACATGTATGTATGTATGCGATGTATGCATCCACCTCCAGCCAGACGGCTCCAGACCACATTCATAAAACCATCAATCGGGCAGGGGCGCTATCATCCTTAATAGTCACCTCCTTACACTCTAAAGTAAGGAGCAGAAAGGGCACACGCACAACACACAATACACACACGGCGTTGTTCCCCGGGCAACGCACAGGGGGACGCCACAATCAATACGTGTGGCCAGCCGCTACCGCAGGGCTATATATAGTATCAGCAAGCCGAGCGCCAACTCCTTCCGGGTTTCTTCATGTCGCCGTTGTGGAGGTACTTCAACAACAACAACAACAACAACAACTCCAGGAGGGTTTTTCTCTCCGCGCCAAGTTAGATGCCCATCGGCATGCCGCCGCTGCCGACTCCCAGCCCCGCGCTGGAGGCGCGCATGCCGGTCATCGCCGCCAGCTGCTGCTGCAACAGCATCTGCTGCTGCTGCAGATCCCGCAGCTGAGCCGCCTCCGCGTCACGCGCCCGCTTCTCCTCCACTGCCTTACGCAGCCGTACGACCTCCTCTGCCAGCATGCGAATCAGCTCGCCGTTGGCCGACGGCGCGGCAGCGGCAGCGGCGGCGCCGTTGCCGCCGCCGCCAGCCCCCAGCGACATGCTACCCATCATCGCGGCCATGTCGCCGCCGCCGCCGCCGCCGCTGCCGCCCATCCCCATCTGCCCATTCATGGCACCGGCGGCGCTATGCCCCATGCCCATGCCAACCCCGCTCATGCCGCCCATTGACACGGCACCCGCCATACCGTTACCCACCGGTCCCAGGGCCAAGCCGCCCAGGCCCCTGGTGCCGCTGTTGAAACTTCCCATGGTGCCGCTGCTGCCGCTAAAGCTCCCCAGACCGGGAGTGAAACCTCCGGGCCCCATACCGGCCCCCATACCGGGCCCCGCGGCGCCCATGGAGGAGTTCATGCTGCCGCCCAGGTGCATGCCGGCCATGCCCATGCCCATTCCCATGCCCATGCCCATGCCCATGCCCATACCGTTTGCGGCTGCGGGACTGGGCAGGGACCCTGAGCCACCCGTGCCTGCGTGGGGGTGTTATTGCGGGGGGGGGGGCAGGGACAGAGGTGAGCAGGTCAGCAAGTGTCGCTTAGCGGGGGGCACGTGTGGGGAGCAAGTGCTGAAACCTGTGCGAGTGCGCCCCGTCGCACTCCGGGTGACCCATACAACGGCTCTTCCCCCTTTTTGCACAACACATACATACATGCATTACATACAAGCATGCATACATACATACATGCATACACACTGATATTCTGGCCCACCACCACCACGGGGACGCAACCGCGAGGAACAAATTGTCCCGAGGCTGAGGCCGCTGAAAGGTTTAAGAATGCTGCGATTGTTGAGCAAGGATGGGATACCCCCTACCTCATCACGCCACCTCACCACTTTCCCGACTCCCCCAAACCCCGAACAGCTAAAGCCCTCTCGAAAAGTGCCCCATAGCACCATTCCGGGCATACACACATGCACACACAAACACACGCACACGCGCGCGTACACATACGCACCATACGCATCCAGGCCGCCTGCATGCGGCCTCTGTTCCAAACTCTTGCGCCGCAGCAATGTGGGGTTGCTCTGAAGGCCTACACCACCACCACCAGCCGCAGCCGCAGCCGCGTCCTCGTCCATGGATCTGCGGATGGACCCGGTGCGCTCCAGACCTCCTCCTGCTGCCGCCGGCCGGGAGCCCTCAGCGGAGGCACGTCGGGAGTCAGCTCGGCGGAGAATGGAGTCGGTGCGCCCCACCGCCACCGCCCCGCCGCCGCCATTGCGCAGTGAATCCGACCTGCGGGTCATCCGAAGGAAAATCCAGTATAATATTTACGTACTGTCCGATTGGTATTTGTTTCTTATCCGTTGAAATAAATTCATCCCTCCATCCGCGTGTGCGCGTGTTGCGCCAGCTGTGACAAGAAACACCCGCCGCAGTACCTCGACGTCCTCGAAAGACTAGAAGGGCAATAAACATGACGGCCTGGTGCCTCCGTACAGCTCTGTCATCAACAATTTGAGATGCTGTAGACCGCCGCCGCCGCCGCCGCCGCTTAATCCTTACCTGCCCCGACCGCTGTCTGGGCCTTTCCCTTATTACGCCCTTACCCCGATAGTGGATGCCAGCCCCCCTGCCAGTAGGCACTCGTATGATACACATACGTGCGTGCACTATCTTTGTTTTACCATCGTATGTGTGTAAGTAAGTATGTAAGTCTGTATGTGCGAGGGTAACGCTGACCCTGTTCGCCCAGCTGCACGCACACGCACCTGTCCAGTGAGTTGCGGCGCTCCAGGGATTTGCGCTGGTCCTTGTGCAGGTAGTCGGCCCTGATCTGACCCGCCTGCACTTGCTTGAGCACGTCCACCAGGGCGTTGATGTCGCTGCTGCCGTGCTTACTGAACTCCTGCACACCCGCCGAACCCGATGGTTGGGGTTGTTGAATGCGAGGCACCCAGGGCTTTTTATCGCGTTCCGGAATATTCAGTTGCATTGCATTGGATTGAATGTGACGAGTACAGGATAATTTTTTGCGCGTGTATTAAGCGAAATACGAATTTTGTTGGAAACAGCATGTCATGTTAGGCCGGATCACGTCGGTCCACACCCGAGCCACATTATGAGTTACATTGCGTTTCACCAATTATTGTCGATTGTTTGCGACATTACACCATGATTCGATGTAGATTGATGCGTTGGATTCACGTTGAATTTTTGTTGAGATTCACGTCGAATTAATGTTGAATGGCGTTGAATGGTGGTTGAGTTTATGTTGAGTTTTGTACGTTGAATTCGAATTGAATTGCGTTGTGTTGCAGGTTGCCATACAGGGACGGTTGCCAAACAGTGGTTGCCGGTGGGCAGGGCAGGTAGGACACAAGGGTTGGCCGGAAGAGAGCCGGGAGAGGTTGAAAGAGGAGAGGGAGGGATGCGGCAAGGGAAGAAGGGAATCAGGGTGATGGATGGAAGAGGGAAACGGGAACGGGGGGGAGCGGGATGTGTCAGTGTTTCTATGGGTAGATGCGAAGATGGAGAAGAGAACCCGGTTGCCAGGAGTTCCCAGGGAATACATAACAGTTAAAGTATTATGAACCACTCCACAACTCCAGAAGGGAAACCTCCAGGCGGTATGCTGGACGGTTTAAACCCCTGCCGCCCCTCCACCTTCCCCAGCGCATCGGATTGATGTAATCGGGTATCAGGACGTCGGATGAACGATTCCCCGGATTTCTGTAGAAGCCATCTATCTGGAACGCAATGGATAGTCGGGGAGCTATTTAAAGGTACGGCCCTTGGCAAGCCCTTCAGCGGTGCTGTTTAAAAGTTGAACAAGAAGTCAGGGTTCGTGATACTCGTGTGAGTTTGGTGGCTGAGCAGGATGCAAAAAATGCCTTCCATTTGGAACCCGCGGAAGTGGCTGCGCCCGCAGCACCACTAAGAATAAGGCCCGCAGCATCCGATGGCTTCCCAACCGTGGCATATTCCAGAATTAGGTTAACATGGTTAACATACCAGAGTTGCATGGAAGTGCTTGTTCAGCTCGCCACCTTTCTTCGGGTTACCCCAGCAAACGACCGGCACATCTGGATGTTTCTCCTTGATGACCTTTCGCAAGGTCTCGCTGAAGTCCTCCTTGCCTGGACATGTAAAATGGTTGCTAAGGAAAGCTGCATGGCACTGCCCGCACGTCTGGACAAGTTTCTGCACAGCATGGAGCGCGGAACGAACATGTCAGAGGTTAGACGGTGCTCACTTTCTTCACACAGGTTATAAGCTCTTCATAATCATTCCTGTAACACGCGACCTGCCTGAAGCCTGCTAACTGCGTCCACTGCCTTGTGCGCCGTGAACAGCTTAATTGGGCCAACGTAGCGCTTGCAACTCTCGAGCGCGTCTTCAAAATCAGGGAGCGCTTTCTCTTCGCCAACCACCAGCAGGTTAAGACTAGGCATGATGGTTACGGCCTAGTTCACCCGAAGGCGCTGTTTAGCAACACTCTCAGCGTTGAGCCCCGCGATATGGCGCAGTAAGCACCTGCATGGTTGACAAAAGCATGTAATTTGGATTTGCCCTACGGATACAACCAAGGCTGATTGGTCATAGGGCAAACGACCAAGTTGTGGAGGGCCAGCTTGGGCCGGCCAGCCTGGAAACGCCGAGCGCTGATAAGAGAAATCATCACAAACATCGAGGCTCACCTTAGCGCTCAATTTCCACAGCCTCCGACACTGTTGCAGCTTCTAACGTTTAATTTCTAATCGGCCACCCTAGCACACACAACGCGTCGTTTCCTTGCGGTTCCTTATCTTCCTGGTTCGTAGAGCCAATTTTCAATGTTTCTTGAAGCAATTTCCTTACCCTATACGCACGTCTGAGCTGGGCCCTCCGTACGGCGTACCTGATACGGCCTCGTGTGGCCGCCTGTCACCGACAATTTTTAGCCAGCTGGGCAACCTGCCGCTGACGTTTTCAGCTCTAAAAGATCTCAAAGAATTTTAGTAGCATAATTTTGACATGTTTGATGTCCTTTCACACATAACTGGCATCAGCAGAGTCTTCAGTACAGTCTCCTCAGTCCCTGTAACGTTACTTTCAGGTTACTCCAAAGACCGACAATTGACCCTTTAATTTCTGTTCCCTATACATTAAGCATTTTTTTGTGCGCAAAACTTGACTATGGCCGCCGTTTCAGGCGGACATCTTTCCTACACGTGCCTGGCCCAAAAGACGTCAGTGAAAGCTTCCTGCGGAACCCAGCATGCAACGAGTCGTCAAGTTGCTGTTGCACTTCCTCCCGGCCCTGCATCTGCTCCTGGAATATGTTCCCCATAACTTCTAGGAAACGGCCCAATTGTCCTATCTTTGGAAGGCGCATACCAACAAACACGCCGCAGTTAACTGAGAAGTCCGATGGTGTTGAAGGTTGTTCTGGTGCCACCCGCGTGGGGCGCCTTCTGCCGGCCTACCTAAGACCAGGATTACCGGCAGTTACCGAACGTATGGTCTGTACTTGCTTGATGGCATGCAGCCCATGCCTTGGCAAGCAGCAAACCTAGCCAGAGAAGTCACTGGAAGTCGGAAGTCCGTCCCTGACTGACTTAAAAAGAGATTTGAACCTCACGGCTACGAGTTAACTCTCCGTTCCTTATACATTGCAATATACTATCCGCCTGCCGACCCCTCGGGTGTGTGAGGGGTGTTGACTTGGGAGGTGGCCCCCCATCTTGTGGACGGTGTAGGACGTGATTATATCAACTTGCGAGCTGACCAGGAACTAAGTTGAGGCGCCGTTGATCCGCTAGATTTGGTTGGATGCTGGTGGTGAGTTGCTGAACCCAACGAATACATTCTGAAGTCGGATGGGGTGAATGGATTAGGGTGCCCCTCTCGCAGGGGAGAGCAGGGAACTGCCTCCAAGGGAAAGGGGGCCGCTGGTGAAGCTATACCACCCTGTAACAACATACTGAAGGCAACCTTTAAGTTGGCATTAAAGATTGAACAAAGCTCTGTGCTATGTCGCCGGGAAAGAGGTAGGAACAGGGGGAAGGAGACTGCCGTCGTCACTACAGACCGGACAGAGACCCTCTTCGCATACCCTGTTCACTACGCCCACCCTGTTCACGTATGACAGCCATTTCCCGGAACTCACATCGCATCCTGTCCTTAAGCATAAACGATTGTGGCGAAAAATGGAATCTCATATGACATAAAATGGTCCATTGCGACCATGGAAGCCGGCCATTACTCACCACCCAACCCCCACCCATGCTGTGTGTGATTTTTATGCCACCGCATTGTTTTCACGGCCGCAAAAGCATTTGTGCACATTACACGAGTTCCATTACTAGCCTAGTGCGGGCAAAGTCGTGTGCACGTGGCGTTTGGGTGTGAAAAGAAATTCTACGTGCACAGCATAAACTCTTGCACAAGGCTAACTTACAGCTGCAACACCTGGCAGTGATAGGAGCCATCAGATACTGCATGCTGCCGCACATAAGGCCGCAGGAATGTGCGAGGAAACTTGTACGACGGGTGTGTCTAGAGCATGGGACGCGAGTATGCTTTGAAAATTTGAAGAATTAGATACAGAATTAAAGAACGAGCCGATTAAGTGCGACAGGTTACTTCATGCACGCCCAAATCCGAACGGACTTCTGTCTTCGAATGAAGGAGTTGGAGGGTGGAGGGGTTGGGACAGCCAAATCCAAATTTTGACTTGGCCGCAGGGCACGGCATGACGAGAGGGAGGCTGGCAAGGGTCACAGCATGAGTCACAGCATGCGCTGCACGGCCGGTTCAGCGGGCCCCGAGCCTCTTCAGGACACAGCCTATGACCCACGGGTCACAAGCACCGAAGAGAAGTGGAAACCCGTGCGCGCCCCACGCCACTCACGCAGCTATTGCCTCTGCAACAATGTTAAACAAACAAAAATAAAAGCGATGGTCCTCTGTTCCTGGTGAAATGCTAACGGAGTGGCTGGATAAGGAGGAACCAGTTGGTCGGCAGTTGTCAAGGCCATCCGATCAGCTGCCAAGTTCTGCACTAAATGGATCCTGCCAATTTCTGCACTTCTCGCGCGCAGAAACCTGGAAGATGCTCAGCGCTGCGGAGGCAAGCGAAAGCTACCGGAAAGCCACGTGGCAGAGACTGCAGCTGAGCTGGTTGTGCAAATACAGCCACGGACACAGGAGGAGATGGAGGGGCACGAGGGGTTCACCAACGGATACGGCAGTACACGAAGCCCCAACAGGGTATGGTGAACAATCCCACCGAGTACCCCGAATCCCCACCCACCCCGAGGCCCCACCCCCATCCCCAAGACGTCCCAACGACCTGGACATCGATAAACTCAACCGCTTCATCACTCGGATTTACGCGAGAAAAAGTACATGGAAGCCCAAGGCCCACAAGCGCTGGGGACTCGCAGGCGCACTGTCGATCGTGCTGCGTGACAAACGCACTAATGGGGCCTGAGTCATCGACTACTACAGCGCTGTGAACTACAAACATGTTGGCCTCCACATCGGTGCCCACGCTGAAGTACCGTCACGGTACGGCACTCGCGAGCGAGGAGTGCCGCCCTGCCGCGGGGGCGGTCATGGAAGCGTATGCTGCAGATGCTGAGCCGTGACTGTTAAAGGATCGGATGCAATAGTGATTGCCAGAGCGTTACAAAAGCAACTAACGGCTCAGCTCAGCCACAACTCACTACTCTAGAAGCATACCAGACCAAAGATAAACGCTTGCTCATTCCTATTTATTGACGAGTTCGACAGTCGATCAGCAAGTACGGAAGATGGCTCCGAACCAATCCAGAAACCAACTATCACGCACTAAGCACCAGGCGACAGACTGACCGGACAACATTTTCCTCAACATTGCGGTGAGACCCGGAGAGGGCCACTTCTAGGCAGTATGTTCCGTGGGAATGCATTGGGGTTTAAGGTGTACGAAAGCTCGTGGCTCTCGGAGTGCGGTGGGTGGTCGGGAGTACTTCAAGTTTTGAGGAACGTGTTTGACAGTTACATCAGTCACCGATCTTGTCGTTTTGTGCGCAGGAACGGCGAAGGCCACAAATAAGTGGTCGCGCACGCGTGCCGAGAGGCAAGCATTGGGGCTGCAGAGGGCCTGCAGACATAACTTAAGAAACGTATTTCCGTCCATCTTGCAGGACACGGTCGTCACAGCTGTCGTGAGCTTGGTAGCCTTTTTAGCTATTTGCGTCCAACGGTGTTCAAGGTGGGCCAGGTTGCTATTTAGGATTGCGGGGTGGGATTGGGAGCTGGGGGTTGGGTGGAGGGGACGTTGTGGGGTGGGATTGGGATGGCGAATGCTTTGATACAGTACTGTGCCGTACACCGTACATCACGAGTTTCTTTCCTGTGGCGTGTCCCGATTCCTTGTCCCGCATTTGCGATTGCGTCCTAGCTGGTGGCGGCGCTTGCTGACTCAAGGTGTTTCGCTGCGTTTTGCTGCTGCTGCTGCCTACTTCTGCTGTTGCTGCTGTCGCCACCACCAGCTAGGACGTGGTGGCATAATCCTTGCGAGTAATGCGGGACAAGGCATCGGGACACGCCACAGGAAAGAAAACTCATGATGTACGGTGTACGGCACAGTATGGCATCATAGCGCTAACACTCTTCGGGTTGGGAACCTGCATGTATGACCAAACATGCCCCCGGTAACCCCGGTGTCAATTGTGTGTGTATGTGTCAGGACGTGCGTGGTCGTGCAATGGACCTGGGCGTGCATAAGCTTCCCGAAGGTAGGTTGGCGCTTGGGCGCGTGGGGGGCGGGCGTATGGGTAGGTGCTTTTTCCGGGAAGGGGTCCGGCCGTGTGCCGTACTGTTCTGTGTGACTGTGAGGGTCGAGCCATTGTGGCTGGCTGGCGGCAGTAGCAGCACAAGCAGCAGTAGCAGCAGCAAAGACATCCGGAAAGACTGTCAGCCAACACCTAGTATCTCCGTAAGCTCCGCCAGCCGTACAGCTCCGAACCTTGCCCAGCTCAGCCTCCATCTTACATGACGTGATGCATATCGCCTTGGTTACCCGCCCGCTGTACGAGACGCACTTTGCTTCGCCTTGCAACTGCTCATCAAACTCACATGGTTTATGTGCTGCTGTCCCTTTCCCATCTCGCATAATCCGCTTCATCACTCGGCGATGGTTGGTAGAGCCGTTTTTCCCTCGCGACGTGCGAGGGGGGTGCTTTGGTCCAGTCCCGGTTATCACCAAAACTGACCGCGGACTGGATTGTGTGCTCGGTGTCTAGGTGGGTGGGTGGCTTGGGGTTTTCGGCCCTGTTGAGTGGGCTAGAAGAGGCTGGGGGTTGGGTGCTGGGCTTTGCAGGCTCTGGGGGACTCTGGAGGTTTGAGAGGATGCAGAGGAATCACCAATTCAATGTACGGCATGCTGTTTCCATATGTTTGCGTCACGTCTTAAGTTTGTACCTTCCCTGCACTTGCCTAGGCGCTTTCCCCCTGTCGGTCCGAATGGCCACCTGCCGCCGCTGTTGCTGCTGCTTGAAGTATGTACGGCAGCGTCGGGAGACGTGTGCCCGCAAGGGCTGCCTGCCTGGCGGAGACTACGGCGTATGACGGGGTACGTGTGTACGGCAATGACGTGAAAATGTGTGTAAAGGGGAGCCTGGCGTGCCAAAGGCGGAGGTCCCCATGGCTGCGGAGGCGGCAGAGATAGACCCACCACGGAACTGGTGGCGGCGGATGATGTATGAGGCATGGATGGATACGGCGGTGAACCTTTTAGGGCGGGGCCCCAGCGCGAAGCGCCCAGGGGGGCCCCGACCTGTAGGATTGCCCATGTCCGTGTGTGTGTGTGTGTGTGTGTGTTCGTATGTGTGTGTGTGTGTGTGTGTTCGTGTGTGTGTAACGGACCAAACATAATATTTCACCCGGCTGAAACGCGTTATCGGTACTATACAGCATTCTCTATTGCAAGGTATCTCGCATGTAGTTAACAAAGACCGTATGAGCACAAACAAGTTTAGCTGCCTCCATTCACCGACCTCAAAAGTCACATCAACGCCTCTCGCGCTAAATTTCATCCCGAAAGCTGCCGCGTATCTCATAATGGAATTCTAGATGACGGCGTATGATAACTCAAACACCCAGCTTGTGTTACCATTTGCCGGCATGGGCAATCCGACTTGCCACCAGAAGGCCAACATAATTTGCTTTCATTTCTGTATGAAATACACAAGCTGCTTGTCTGTACATTTACTTTGGCCAATGCACGGGGCCTCCGGAGACTTGCGGTGTGCCCCGATGAAGCCCGCGGCTGTGGGGCGGATTGCTGAGGCCGCTGGCGCTTCGGGGATAAACATCACAGACAGCACCGAAATTCACCCAGCTTTCGTTACCATTTGCCCACACGGTCATTCCGACTTGCGGTCTGTGATGTTTTACGAGTCAGTTGGTAGTTGGTAGTTGGTAACTGACCCGACCACGACTGTTGCTGGGCAACAGAGCTCCCATGTTACACGACTGTTGCCGTACGGCACACCTCCCAGTGAATTTAGGTTTCACTGCACTGGCTGTGCAGCAGTGCGGGGAGGGGGGAAAGGGGGGGAAAGACGAACCACACGCGATTGAAGCTGCTGCCAGGGAGGGGGGAAAGGGGGGGGAGAAAGGCCCGCGGCCCCACTGGCCCGGCCAATACCCTGAATGAATGGGGAGCGCCAAGGAGGGTTGACCGCTAGTGTGCCGCCGCCTTCCAGCCGCCGGCCGGTAACGTGACCAGGTCTGTGCGGCCCGCGTACTTGGACATGAAGGCGTCGATGCCGCCCTTGAGGATGCTGACTCGTGGCGCGGGTTCGATTCCAAGCGCCTGCAGACGCTGCTGCAGCGCCGCAGCGGCTGTGGGGCCCCTCTTACCAGGACTACAAAACAGGCAGTGCACCACTACCTGCGGATAGGAGCCGGCGCGGTTTCAGTGACACCAGTGGCGCTAGAAGCTGCTGCTGCGACGTAAGCAGCGAATTGGATGGTGGTGATGCGGTCGGTGACGGTATCGATGCAGTCAGAGTCAATGAGCTGCACAGGACGAGCTTCCATGGATATGCGCCCGCCCCACATGTGGGGTGTATTAGTTGGGGTTTATAAGTTGTGGGTGTAGTTGTTGTTGGAGTCACCGCCCGGACGACGACGACGAGAACGACAACGCGCGGCAATACAAGGGGCCGCTTCTTCATCGTGTGGGCGTCGCCAAGGGTGTGTCCCATCTCTATTCGTACTTCCGGGGGTGTTGAGATGCTCCCCTGACCCAAGAGTTTGTTCGTATGCCTCGCCCATTTGGTGCAACGAGTGACCCCGGCACCAGGTGGTCTTTTCCTCCCCCGATCACCCGGGCCCCATCCCCAGCCCCTTGTGACACATAGGTATACATGTAGGTAGAGAGGTTTGCGTAGCGATCCACGGATATCTCTTGAAGGTATGGGTTCCTAGGGTTCCAAGGGGTGCGGTCCTTCGCACCTCTTTGGCGTGCTTGATGCGCTCGTGGATGGCGCGGTCCAGAGGGCCCGTGTCCGCTTGCTTGAACACAGGGGTGGGCACGTTGTAGAAGCCGTTTATGGTGCCAGCTGCCAGCTCCTGTTGCGGAGTGGGTAAATCGACATGAGGGCACGGAGAGCATAGTTGCGTACACACAGGACAGAGGAGGCACGAGGGAGGGCGTAGTGGAGCAGGAAATCAACGCCGACATACATCCGTGTCCGGAGGGCCGCCCGCCAGGAAAGTTCGAAGAGACCAGGTACAAGCAGTGGTTGACGTGGAAACGTGGAGTCAACAGGAGCGATAACTGGCTGTAGAACCTAGGAGAGCAGCAGGACGTAGGAACGAAGACAGGAGACCTGATCTTCAACCAACGCGACATGTGTGAAGGTAACTTAGTTCGTGGGTAGCCTCCCTGAACCGCAGTGATATTGAAACATACTCGCCTCAGGTGAGCGCACATCCAGCACTAGCAGGCCGGGGGTCTTCGCGTCCAACTGCTCCACAAGCGCATCACTGTCGATCTCAGGAATGGTTGCGGAAGAGAAACCGCGCACAAGCGCAATGTTGTGGCGTTGCCATAACATAAACAGCGTATTTGTCTGGGTACGCAACACGGACAACTTGGGTGTAGCTGAAATCATTGTTAATTCGAGGGTTGTCTCCTCCAGACAAGGCCCGCAAGTTCTTTCTGTTTTCGATTGCTGTAAACAAAGGCATTCAAAAACGAATCATGGAACCAACTCGTCGCTAACTTACGATGTGTCCATAACACATGTGGGCCTGCTGGCCTGCCGGACCGTTGACATCCAATTTTGTTTCAACTCAAAAGCGTATGGTTTACATGATTCAGTAGGTGCGCACAACTGAAAGAAGTCATTAATCGTAGTGCCCAATCCTTTCCTCGTAAGCTAAAGATCAAGGGTTATGTAGGGTTTTGGGGGACGGTGGGGTTGACCGGACCGGCGGCTTCTTCCCGTTATGTACACAACTTCCTAAGGCCGGCGTGCAATGCTAAACATTCGGAATCAAAAAGCTCTTGTTGCACAAGTTAAACAGGAAGCAGCTTCCAGCAAGGTCACACAAGCAGGGGGCTCAAGACCAACCACATAAACGTCGTCGTCGTAAGTTCGCCCTACAACCACAGCAGAAACGGCCCGTGTTGGCAATGCGTGATAATACAAATGGCATTTCCCTCGGCGGGAGCTCTACGTAAGTCATCATCTGTTACGTCCTACTATCGCACAGAATCAAGTGATGAAGGCCCTTTCGCCCTGAATGCCCTTCCGCTATAACGATACTCCACTCCACTCTTGACTCGGCCACGAAAACCCCCATTCTCGTGCTCCTGACCGACCGACCCGCACAGGACGACTGTGCTCCATATCACTGTACTTCACCGTACCACACAGCTGGGGCCCAGAGCGCGGTAGCCGTCACCACCACCGCGCAGCGACAGGCAAGCCTATCTGTCATGTCGTACCGTGCCCCGGCCCTGCCCTCCTCTCTCCTGCCCTTCACTCGTAGGTCATATCACTCCGCTAAAGCTACTCCACATCCCAGGCGGGCTCCCTTTCAGATCACGACGTAACGAGCTAACGAACTCGCAACTGCCGCCCAACCGTCACCACCAACCACTTCAAGTAAACTGTCGGAGTCCCAGATGTGTCAAGGCGCGTCTCCACGGTCGATTGCGTTCAAGGCCCGACAGTTTGGGGGTGTTACCAAATGGTGTAGTCTAGTAAGGTGTGTGTGTGTGTGTGTGTTATAGGCACGTTGGTCATTACGTCGCAAATTTAAGCAGATGCCCTCCGGAAAAAAGAGAGTGGCAGTGCGGTAGTCGCTGCGGGTGTAGTGATTCAGCAGCACACAGCCCGCGCCTCCTCCTGCACCCCACCACATCTCTGGACACAAGGCACCCACCCCCACATCAAAGTCACATCACAACAAACCATCATGCCATCCACCGAGATTCACACTTGCACTGTGACCAGCGCTTTACATGTTCACTGAATATCCGCCTACACCCGTGCATTCAATCCCCCCATCTGTATGTACATACATACACACATACATACACACACCCAAATCCATCAAGCCACCCTCCTAATCCCCAGTCATCCAACTAAATGCATCATGAGTAATTACAGCTATGCCACCATCACCGCAGTAGCTGCAGTAGCAGCAGCACGAGGCAGTCGCCTGCCAGGACTGGCCCCAACTAAGCGCCCCATCAGGCAATCGCATACTATATTGGCCCCCACAATTATGAATTGAGACATCCATGTCCTAATCAAGCCACAAAACCCTAAGACCCTGGGCGACTAACGACACCTAACAACCCCCCTCTTGAAGCACAAAAGAGGACGTCACCTCCTCCTCTAGGAAACCGTTCCGAGCCCACATTGACTGCCCCCCGCTCTCCTTTCCACCTTCTTGCCCAGCCCTACGGCTCCATGGTCATGACGCCTACTCCCCAGCTTTCCATCGGTGAAGTCTGTGCGTCTGTCAGTCAGTCAGTCAGCTGCCGGCGCCGTCGTCAGCCTGTTTGGTCTCGTCGCGAGGTCTCCTCCAGCGACGCCGCGTCGCTACGCCGCCGGACTCTCGTCTCCCGACCCGCCGCGCCGCCGTTCGCCCGGCGGCGGCGGTGCACCATGTGTGAGCTCCACGCCCCCCCTGGACCTCGCAACAGCCCGCAGGCGACTCTGTAGTTGACGTTATCCTCCTCCGGGTTCACATTGTCAGGCATTCCGTCCCACGGTACGACACCAGCAGCGGCAGCGGTGCTGTACACCAGGTAGTCCAGTTGGCCGATCAGGACTGAGACACATAAGGTGAGGTGCGGTCGGGGGTGGCGGGTGGGGATTGGGTGGGTCGGGTGGAGGGAGAGCGGGGGAGGTGGGTGGGGTTGAGGATTGGACGTGCAGTGGCAGGTGGTGGGGGTTTTGGTTGGGAGATGCAGGCGCCATTGGCGAGTTGGCGAAGGAAGGGTCGGGAAACGTTGCGTTGAAAGTTGTGAAGGTAACTAAGAACCGTGGAGGTTCCAGAGGGCTGGGGGAAAGCGGCAAGGAGGAGAGGAGGAGAAGAGAAGGACACACGACAGAAACGAACAAAGGCAATACGGACGAAGCGCACTGCTCTGTGCACGACGTTCTTTCACCGGAGGAACCTTGAAGGGAGCAATAGTGGGGGGAGGGGGAAGGAAGGGGGGAGGGCGACCTGTAGGAGGAGGGAGCCGGAACGGCTCTTTAAATGGGAGGAGAGCGGTTTAGGTTGCAGAGCGTAACCACCCGGCACGCAGAACAGGGACAAAAGTGGAGAAAAGTGTCGTGCTGTCGTAATTGTCCGCACTCTGACGTTACTCAGCCGGGCGCTCGCGCCCCACCTGCGAGTCCGTACAAATCCATGTCAATTTGCTGCCTGCCGTACAGGATATCCATCTCATCACTTGATGGCATGTGCGGTGATGGGTCAAAGTCAAACATCTCCTGAAGCGCCGTAATGTTCTTGTCGTGCACCTGCGTTTGCACGGAGAGGGCGTTACAGTACGGCACAGCACACAGCACATAAGAACATGACCGGCGCGTACGGAGCCTTCGGGAGCAGGAACCTTCGTTCCCCCTGCGTCACGGCTCAGCGCAGCACAGCCCAGGGGCGGGCAAGATCACCATCAACGTGGACGAACCAGGTATACATATATAGTTGTGACTGAACCAGGGAGGGAACCCGGGAACCATTTCGAGCCGACAAAACCCCTAAAAGAAGCAGAGATGCCAGGTGCGGGCACCCCGCAATAGTTCACTTCGCGTGCCGGAAGAGGGAGGCGGTAATGGAGACAGCAGCGCCGGAAGGCACTCACGTCCGTGTACGACACCGGCCAACCAGCTCCAAACGCAAGCAATCGCGATGTAAGCTCGGTCGGTGACTCTAGCGGTACGACGATGTCGTACTGCATCAGGACGAGCCGTGCTGGCGCCAGGTGGGTGTCGGCGGTGATGCCACCCACTGGCGCATGCCAGGCAGCCTCGCCGAGCAGCGTCCTGCAAGGTACGACATGTACGGCAATCAAGGCAGCAAGGGGGAACAGGACGGGCGCCCGTATTTACATTTTCATGGGAGATGTGTGTTGTTTGTGTTTTCTATGCACTGCTTACTTCATTGTGGGTCCGGAGAGACGCGAAACATCTTAACATCTCAACAGCAGCAGGGAAATGGCAGCCTAAGCCAGCAGCAGTGAAACGCAGCTCCGGAACCGTTCCGGAGCGTCACGCCCGGATTGGTATGTAACGGACACGTACATACATACAGTATATACATCCCTTCCATTACCTTGCAAAGTAGTTGTCAGATATTGCCGGTGCCACACTGGACCAGAAGCTTGCGTTTGCACCCGCATACGTGGTGAAGAAGTCGGCTGATTTCTCCACGCCCTCCTCCACTTGGGCGGTCATGAAGCGCTTGTAGTGCAGCAGGATGAACCGCAGGTGGGAGGCGAGGCGGCGGAGGGGGTTCCTGGAGGGCGGTAGGGGGAGGAGGGTAGGGGGAGGAGGGTAGGGGGAGGAGGGTAGGGGGAGGAGGGTAGGTGGGGTGGGGAGGGGCGGGACAGGAGGAGGGCAAAGAAGGAAGGGTTTGCCTCTTGTTTGCCATTATGTTGAATCAGAGGACAAGTCCACTGAGCCGAATGGCCCTAAAACCCTAAAACCCTAAGTTAGGGGGAGGTGGAGACGTCTCATGTCTGTGACCCGAACGAGAATAACGAAGTATGTAAAATAGGCGATTTCTAATAGGTGATGATTCTATGGAATTATCTAGAGGCTCCAAGAGGCACTTGCCTGAACAGGATCGCGGTGACGAACTGCTTGCTGCACACCTCCACATCCGAAAAGGACTCGGCACCGCCAGTCAGCGTGTACTCGTTGCTGCGTGTCGCGTGTGTGCGGGGTGCGGATAGAGGGGCTTATAAGCACACAAGCATAACATCAATAGAAGAGGGAGGTAGGAGTTGTACAGCATTTCATGCGTCGCCGTACCTGTAGTACGTCCAGCGGTTAGCGAGCATCTGCGCGGCCCGGCTGGCACACCCCGGTGCCCCCTCGGAACGATAAGTGCCGTGAAGGTACCAGCTGTGTAGTGGTGGTGGCGACGGCGACGGTGGGGGGAATGGGGAATGGGGGGAAAGCGGAGGAGTGGGAGGAGTAATAATAAAGGGGTTGCGCAGTATCAAAACTCTAGGGTGTGTGGGGGTAAAAGCAAGCCCGCTAGGAGACGGGCAGTGACAGTGGACAAGGGGAAACCGTAGTCAGCACACGTACACGATTAGTGGGATGGAAGTTGCCATGATCGGACGGCGATGATGGACAACCGGTGCAAGGAGGGAGGGGGGAATCTAGTATGCAAGGAAGTCGGAAATGAACTGCCGGCAGCAAGGAGGGGGGCAGCAAGGGAAGATGAACACCCTTTCACTTCTTTCCTCCCTTCTCTCCTTACCTCTCCCTCCCCCAATCGCACCGAGAACGCTGTTTTGCTCCCATTCTACAACCTCCACACCTTCCACAACAATTTCAACATCCCACAATTGTGCTTTTGCCTTTGCTTCCCTTTCATCTCCCTCCCCTTTCCCTGCTTCGTAACCCAGTGCACCTCTCCTGCAGGCTACCCCCACCTTACCTCCACAGCGGTTCCCACACACACACCCTTTCCCTTCCTCTCTGCAAACTTACCGTGTGGGCTCTGCTCCGGTCAGTCGCGTGTGCGCCGCTCCGTCCACCCAGCGCACCTTGTCATCAAACGAGCTCACGCCGCACACAAAGAACCTGTCGAAGCGCTGGGTGGTGCAGCCGTTGAGCTCTGCAGCCGATAGATTAGGGCAGAGTGGGCGGGTGGTGGGTGGGGAGGAATCAGTGCGGAGGAAAGGAATCAGAGGCAACGCAAGAAGCATCGAATTACCACAGGTGGGTGGGAGGGAGGAGGGGTAGCAGGGCAGACGGAGGGAGCATGGACGATGGTGGACAGGGGCTTGCCGGAGAAGAGCCGGAAAGAAAAAGGTATGATCGTATAAAACTTTAGGCAGTTTGGTGTGTACTAAGCAGGGCAGGTTGGGCGTGTCTGCAGCTGCTCCATGCTCTTAGAAAGGGGCATAGGCAAGGTGGAAGCAAGGCAAAGGACTACTCCAGGACACCACCTCAGGATGATTGAAGCCTATAAAAGTTTGTCATTATATCGGTTTCAGGCGTGAGTGCATTTGGGGAGCTTAGGGTTTAAGAGGGCGAGAGAGACGTTGTGGGAGCGAGGAAAGCAGGCAGGCGGACTGCACACATCCCCGCCCTCCTCTTGCCCCGTCTTCCTTGAGTTCCCGAACCACCGACCCGCGAGTCGCGTCATCGAAACCTCTGTTACTTACGTGCCGCGTGGCACCAGCTCGTGCCCCCGCTCTTGGACACTGCGGCGGCGAGAGGACACCAGGCGGGCAGACGGCCGCGGGAGAGTCGGACAGGCAGGAGAGTGGGAAAGGAGGGTTTCCTGCCGAGGTGTGCCTTCGCCCTATCCCTTTCCCCTGCCGTAGCTCTATCCGGCTGCCCTCATCTGGGTCGGCAGTCGTATTGCCGATCTTACCCCCCGGGCCTGACTCCCCGCCTGCACATCGGCCCTGGGGGATTTACGTACGCCCCAGGTGCGGTGGTTCGGGTTGCTTTCCGTAAAACCCTTACAAATCCTCCTTACCAACTGTTTACCTTAACCTTTGCTGCCAAGATATTTTATAGAATTAGCACTGTGTGTCGACTGAAACATGATGTTGTTTGTGGGGGAAAATGAGGTTCGCCTTAACCGCATCCCTAATCCCTACCCTGGCCCCCTGCCTCCATCCTTCCTTCTTCCTTCCTGTCCCCACCCCCCCTTACCGTGTTGGTAGTCCATGATCCCCCGGTTCATTGCCCCACGCCGGTGCAGCATGTAGAGCTGGGTGCGGGGGATAGGCAGCGGGGGATAGGCAGCGGGGCGGAAGCCAGGTAAATGTGTGTGGCGTGTGCGTGTGCGATAAGGACAAGACCGGAGCAAACCCCGACAGAGCTCACGGGGATGTGTGCGGGGGAGGGCTGCATACAACAGTCTAGGACAGCTCTCCCCTCGCCGGTGAGGCAGAGGAGAGATCGGTGAGTGCAGGGGGATATGCACACACACAGAGGGGAAGTTGCCGGGGCTGTGTGTAAATGGACAGGACCCAGATCTGACCCAGATGGGCCCTGATCCAGCAGCATTTGCACCCGCTGCCGAGCCCCCTCTACCTCCACACAACCCCACCTCGCACCACAAGACCCGGACTAGGCCCCCCTCCCTCCCCGCCGCAGCCTCCACCGTCGGTCGTTCTCTTCGCCTTCCGGCAGTCTCCCCCTGGTCTTTTCCTGGCCATTCCACCGACCATATCAGGGGCTCATGTCACCGCATGCACATATGTACTTGTAGAACCTGAATGACGAACCGCTTAACCCACGGACTTACCTGTACGAATAAGCCGCTGACGGCCTCCTCCTCCACCTCCGTCAGCCGCTTGCCAGCCCCATCCAGCCACGCGCGCACCACCACCGCCGTCAGCAGTCGCCTCAGCACCGGAAAGGACGTCCCGGCCGGCAGCTGCGCCAGCCTCGATCCGATCTTATGAGACCAGTCCACTAGCGACTGAGGAGACGGCAGCGTGGAGAGGGGCTTGGACAGCGGCTTCGGAGGCTTGGGGGATGATGTCTCCCGGTCGCTGCGTCGTCGTAGGCCGACGGCGTCCTCTTCCGCCGCCTCCGCACCGGCTGGCGCTATAGAGGCTTCTAGATGCCGACCACTGCCGGTCGCACCCTCCCGAGTCAGCAGCAGCAGCTCCTGAAGGGAGGGGGAGATAGGGCGAGGTTGTAGCGAGGAGGTGTGATGCGCAGGGATTACGACGGAACCCAAATTTCACACGACACGGGAGGGAGTGCCGAGGTGAGCGCGCCAAAACGCAGAGCTGCAACCGTGGTTGGGCTTGTGGTAATAATGGAAGAGGAGAAGGAAGCATCGGGTGGATATGGGTTTTAGTTGTTGGTTAGTTGTCGGTTACGGTTATGATTTGGGGGTTGAGAAAGTGGAGGTGGGAAAGGTGTGGCTTGTGGGCTGGTGGTAGGCTGCCTAAAAGCTGTGGGTCGACGGAAACCGAAGTCGAGGTTGAGGGTGCTGGGGGCCGCGTGAAGGTGTGGGATTGGAACGATCGGAGGAGACCCAGATCAGGGGAGGTGAGCCGCATGTAATGGAGGGCTCCGGGATCGGACCCAGATGGGGCGGGTGTGTAAAAGGCGGTGGGCCTGGTTTCGCGTGTGTGTACCGGGAGAGTAAGCGGGGGTGTAAGCGGGGGTGTAAGCGGGGTAAGGTAACGGGTTGGTTGGCGACGGTCCGGACTAAGGGATGGGCTGTGCGAGGATAGAAGATTGACAGAGGACGTGGGAAGGGATTGTTCCAGACTGTGAAGGCGTGTCTCAGGGATTTAACAGGCCTGTCGAGGACCAGGGTTGAGGGATGACCATCCAGGCCGGGAGAAACAAGCTTTATGTCCTGAAAAGGTGTAAGATATAGTCAGGAAGGGGGAGGACTACGGAAAGAAAGGCATCATAGGTTTCGACGGCCGCTTGCGCCACGCAGGAACTGTGCTCGCTCCTTGCGAGCGTACGTACAAACCTGAAGAAGGGAAGCTACTTTCGGCTCCCGGAGCTCGTGCACCCGATGAAGGGCATCGCTGTAATGCGGCTCCACGGTGTCCAGCACCATGCTTAGCTTTGCACGCAACGCCGATTGCTGGCCGGGGTTGTTCATGTGCTCATCCCCAAGGAAGATACTTGGAAAGCTTCCAGACAGGCTAAAGGATGTTTCAGTGCTCCGAGCACGCCGAGTAGAGCTGGAGCGACTTGTTCTTCTAGAGCTAGCCGCAGAGATACCGCTACAGCTCGCAGCCAGCAGGATGACGCAGATGATAAGCCGTGCAATCAACATGTTTACAAAATTCTGAATAAGGCCATGCTTATGATAAAATTTGTTCCGCTGTTCGTCCTTGGTGCCATGCCCCAGCTCAGAAGTCGATACTGAGTACGTCGGCATGCGATGCTTGCATGTGTTACGTACATGCAAAGCGCATAATTTTGCCAAGCAGAATGCTTAGAGCAAAGAATTGAAGCCGTGCATGTTGAAAGAAGGAAAAGCGCGCACGCGACGTACACAGGTGTAGTGACCATCCAAGTTCACACGGGCCATCCTGCGAGGACTAGTTAAGTGGGTTAGGTGATAAATATTAAAATCTTTTGGCACTCTTGACCTTAAGTGTTGAAAGGGCAATCATTTCAACGAAGCTACGAATAGACCGGCTATCTGAAGGGGAGCTGGATATACTATGTGCAGACTAGGTTATCCTTAATGAAATAACATGCTTGTTTTGATTTTACCTGCATTTGATGCCAAGCAGCCAGAAATGGATAGTGCATGTGTCCGTTTCCAAGGCTTTCCTTGCGGCATACAAGCATATGATGCGAGAGGAACCCAGCAAAGGTCCCATGGCGTTCGTTATTAAGTCCGAATACGACCTTGCTCCATGGAAGCCCTATCCTGGAGGGCTGCCAGAGAGCAGCTTCTTGCAGAGCTACAAGCAGTGGCGGACGGAAGTCCTTCTGCACCACGGGCAGGGGCTGCGGGACAGGGCGAGAGCTTGCGGACGTCCCAGCCGGGCGCAAGTGGTGCCTCCTCGCCCCCGAAGGGCCCCCGGCGGGGACCAAGGGAAAGCGCCTCAGGCTACGCACCCACCAGCCCTGCCGCCAGCCCATCAGCTGCCGGGGGATCTCCGGCACTGCAGCGGGGAGCCACCGTCCCTCTTGGCGTCGCGGTCGCGCAGCAGCAATACGACCAGCTGCTCAGCCAACTGGTTCCTGGTGCTCCAGCTGCCTTTGGTTCCGGAGCCCAACCTGGCGGTGCAAACAACAATGTAGCGGACTCGCCTCGCCAGGCCGCGCCCACGCAACGGCGCTCAGCGACAGGCGCCATAGTGCCGCAGCAGCCGCTGCTGCCGCCGCCTCATCAGCAGGCAGTGCCGGGAAGGGGAGATGCGTCACCACTGGGAGCCGGCGGCAAGGAGCTGTCGCAGCTGCCGTACAAGCAACGAATGCGCGGCAGTGGCTCCGGGATCGGGGACAATCGCATGGTACGTCTGCATGCATGTGGGTGCGCAGTGGGGATGTGGCATGCGCTCGAGGGGGGGGTTAGTTCTGGGTCATGGAAGAAACCGAAGATAGTCGAAACTTTTCCAGATTCCCGATTCGCCGATTGTGGCAGGAAGAGAGAGCCTGGAATTTCGGTACCTGCTCCAGTGGGTCATTAGACAGGTTTTCACAATACCCTTTAAGAAAGGGTAGAATACACTAAATAGATTTAGCAACCGTAGGTTATTATAATGTGGGTATGACTCTGTCCCGGGGCTCCTCCTTACATCTCTCGTTAAACCGCCTTGACAGGTTCGTACTCATTCATATTGTATATTACGTCCGTCATCCCTACCAAAAACACCTTCTAACCCCCCACCATATCACACATACACATACACATACACGCACATCCTCATAAAATCGCAGCTGACGGGCGATGTCCACATCGTGGCCACACGTCCCCGGGTCATGAGGGCCTCCGGGGGTGTCGACGTCGCCGGCGGCGCAGCTGCGGCTGCATCTCCAGCCGTCAACACCCCGCCGAATGGCCGCGGTGGCGGCAGCGGCGGCGGCGGCAGCACCGCGGCGGTGGTGGCAGCGGTGGATCCGGCCGCCCGCGGCAACAACAGCGCTTCCGAGCTGCCGCTGCTGCCACAGGCGCAGCAGCAACAACAACAACAACAACAGCAGCAGCAGGCGCAGCAGCAGCTGCTGCGCCAGGTATACCGGGTCAGCGGCGCGGGTGGAGGCGTCCCATCACCGGTGAAGCCGAAGCGTATGTCACAATCCAATGCTGCTGCTGCGGCGGCGGCGGTGGCGGCGGCGGCGGGGGGGCCGGCGGGGTCCTCTTCATCAGTGACGGCGGAAGGTGCCGTACGCTTACCCAGGTGGGTGGTAGTGGGTGGGTCATCGGAGCCAGCTCAAGGTCAGATATGAAAATTGACCCAAATGGAAATGGAAATGGAAACGGCGCCGGGTTTTGGGACCATGAATGCGGGGACGCTTACGAGATATGCGCTCTCAACCAAGGTCCGAAGGCACTGGGCCTGGGCCGTTCAGCTCTCGCCTTTTTGCGGGAGTGTGTGCAATGCTCCGAAACTCAGAAACCCAACCTGTGCTCCTCATCTTTCCATGTTAAAATCTCGCTGCTGTGTCGTGCTAGGTTCCCTTACCCCCTCTCCCCCACCCCCACAGAGGACTAGGTGTGACTGCTTTCCCTCCTGCATATGATTCACTGCACAACGCTCCTCACTCACCACCTCTTGTGTGCTACCGCAGCCCATCCAGGACGGCAACTCAAACGGGAGCTTCAGGAGCACACGCGCCTGGAACCTCGGAGCCGCTGACCGGTGGAATGCCGCCGCTGCTGAGAGCCGCCGCACGCAGAGGCGCCGGGAACGGGGATCACGCCGCCGGCTCAGGCTCCCCAAGCGGCCCTGGCTCCTCCACCGCCTTGCAGAGTCCGCTTCATCACCGTCGCCGCCGACCGTCGTCGCCGACTCCATTGGCAAAGCCGAACCAGGTACCGACTTCACCAACTCCAAACCGCAATGACTGGTCGCTATCCCCGCGGCAGCAGCAGCAACAGCCGTACACTGTGCCTGGGCCGGTGGTGCTTCCACCACAGCCAGCGGCGGCCGTCGCTGCCGCCGCGGCGGCGGCGCAAACAGACGTCGTGCCGGCTTCGGCCGCAGCAGCTCTTCGGCGACCGGTGCTGAAGGCGCAGCCCGAGATGGCGGGGAAGGCCCCGTTGACTGCCACGACGGCGGCGGCGGCAACGCAAGCTACCTTGGACCAGGGTACTCAGCGGTCGGCACAGGTGCTGCAGCCTGGCGCCATGGGCGCCGCTGCCTCCGCCACCGCGGCCGTCGCTGCTGCGGGCAACAGTCCCGTACCGCTGACTACTGCGGCGCTTGCGCTTCATACGACACAGTTACATGGTGACGAGGCGTGGCGGGAAACAGCGGCCGCGGCGGCGGAGGCCGCGAGGGTTACCGGCACCCCTGCAGCCATACCGCCACGGCCGCCGTCGCCGCCGCCGGCGATGACGGTGGCAGTGCCGATAGCCGTGCCGCCGGCGCTGCCTTTTCAGCCACTGGCGGCGGCGTCATTGCCGGCGTCGCTGCCCCGTACACCGTTTATGCTCGATGCCGCTGACTTTTTGGAATCCGGCGGTGAGGGGCAACGGCAGCAACTTCCGCAGCAGTCGCAGCCGCCGCAACAACAGCCAGCGGCTACATCGGACTCGACAGGCATGGCGGCCGCCACTGCCGCGCCAGCAGTGCCGCCGCCGCCGCCTCTGCCGCCAGCGATTTCTTCGGTCACTGGCCTGTCAGGCGGCCGCGAGTACATACCAGAGCGAGTGCGGCGTATCTCAGACGCAGCCGGTGCGGTTCTGGTGCTCGGCCGGACACCCTCCACCACCGTTGCCGCTGCTGCCGGCTCTGCGGCTCCCACCGGCGGCGGCGGCGGAACCGGCAGCTGGACGATGCACTTCCCTATCGGCAGCGTCCGTACGTCAGAAACTGGCGACGGCGTGCGGATCGTCGCCAATCGTCGGCCGTCCGCCACCGTACGGCGAGTCAGTCATATGTCTGACGTGAGTGGCAGCCAGATGAACTACGGGTTGGTGACCCAAGGGTCAGTGACGACCAGTGCCGTACCGTCCGCAACTGTGCCGGAGGGGCTTGGGGGTTCACCAGCTCTGCTACAGATGCAGCTGCAGCAGCTGCGGCAGCAATATGGGAGTACGTATTTACCGTCGCCGCAGCGGCAAGGATCCAGGTCAACAGACGGGGGTGCGACGGGGCCGGCGGCGCCGCCGCCGCAGCTGCCGCCGCCAGCGTCAGGGTCCTTACCGGCAGATGGACACGGCCCTCGTCGCGCTGATCCAGGATCCCCTTCAGCAGCATCGCCACTGCGGAAGTCCCCGCCTCCACAACAGCAACAACAGCAACAGCAGCAGCAGGCAGGCAGTAGCTTACTGCCGTCCAGACAACCACCATCACCACAGCCGCCGCTACAGCAGCCGCTACAGCCGCCGCCGCCGCAGCTGCCGCTTCAGCCGCCGCCGCAGCAGCCGCAGCAGCAGCCGGCACAACAACAAATGCAATCTGCGCTGCAGCCAAATGCACAAGCACACGCGCAACCGCAAACTCACCAACATCCGGAGCTGCAGCAGCTACAGCCTCCTAAGAAGCGGATCTCGACTCAACTAGGGTCCATGGACGACGTGCTCGAGGAGGAGCTGGGTCCTCCGGCAGGAGCAAGACACGGCATCTCCCCCTCCTCCTCCTCACTCGCCTCGCTTCCCACTCTTGACGAACATGAGGCAGTGCCGGTAAGTGGTGCTACTGCCGGTGCGCTGTACGGCAACGAACCGGCGACGCAGCCACAGTCGCGGGGGCCCGGGACAAGCAGCCCAGGCGCCGCCGCAGTTACAGCCTGTCGTACCGTGGACCCCGGGAGGACTCTCTCCGCGTTGCCGACATTGGCGTTCTACGAGCCGGGTCGAGGTGTTGACGTGGGGGTGGAGGGTGCCGGTCCTGCTGCCGCTGGCGCCGGCACTGATAGGGCCAGTGGCGGCGACAACGACGATGATGACGAGCTCGGCGCTGGGTTGTCGTACAGAAAAACCTCCATCGACATGGACACTGTGGAGTTACAGCCGGCCGGCGCGGCCGTTGGCTCTCCGAAGTTACAGCAGCTACAGCAGCAGCTGCCGCCACAGCAGCAAGGGCGGCCGCCACCTGGGGCCACTTCCATTGAGGCGTCAGGCGCTGCGGCGGCGAACGGCAGTGGCGA